ATACGGTTTGATTGTATGCATGTCTCATTTTGTAACGTCTCATCGTTGTAACTTGTTTTTGTAACTTTTTGTAATTCTACCCATTTCTATGCACTGCCCGTCTAGGGATATTAAATATTAAATTAATAAGTTGGTTTTTGATTGCTCTAAAAAACACACAAATCTGAAGAGACTGTTGAGTGTCTATTGTATGGGTATAGTTGATTATGTGTATCATCAGTGCCTAGAAACGTGGTTGCAAGTCATTTCCAGCAGGGATCTGGGGAGGAGTATGTGTGTGTGTGTGTGTGTGTGTACACACGTGCGTGTGTGTGTACGTACGTGCGCACACACACAATGGAAGAGGTGGCCATGCCAAGATGCTCAGAGGATAGCTTGGGCATGAGGAAACCACTTAGGCTGCCACACAAAAATTAGAGTACACTAGATTGTATGTCAGATTTGTATCTGCCTGTGTGTGTGTCTACCCAGCTAGATTTGGGTTAGACTCCCTCCAGTGGTGATCAGCCGTAATGCAGGAGACGGAGTAGATGTACTAACTGGCGATAATTGTGCCCAGTTTAGCCAACCTGTACCTGCTAGTGAGAGTAGTGTGTGTGGTCTGAGAAGCCTGTGTGCCAGTTTGCTTGAGCGCAGAGTGTACAGCCTAGGAGTGTCCCCCTTTCAAATCAGGAAGAGTCCCCAGACTCCCTTTAAATCAGATTACTAGCATCACATCAGGAGCCAGAGCTGCAGCAGCATAGCAGAGGGCAGATACCAGGATGCTGTGCAAAAAATTTAAGGGACCCCCCCCCCCCTTTAAAAAGACAGAAGGCACCCCAGGTTAAGAAAGGCTGATTTAGCATATTCATTCATTTTACATTCTAGATAAGCTGTATGCTAGTCTATATTAACAACCTGGGTTTGAATGTGGGTAATAGTGGTAATCAAATATTCCTTCAATTCTTATGTGATAAATAAGAACATTTGTGTAATGTGGTCTTCTGAGGCTGGGTGTTATGGTGTGAGACATCAGGTTGGTAAAGTCTCTGCTGTCGACAGATTTGGGCACTGGAAGTACTTTTGAGCACTCTCGCACCCTGCAAATAACTTTTTTAAATAAGCATATCTGCAAGATGCATAGTGGTCATCCTGCATCAAAAAGGTCTCCCTGGGGAGGGGGAGGTGTGGCTTTGACATGGCCGAGTGAGGACATGTGCTTACAATCCCTCTCCCTTCTCTATACATGCTGAAAGAAAGAGGCTCCTCCGCTCCCATATTAACCAGTTGAAGTCCGCGATGTTACACCCCCTTCCCATCCAGGCCATTTTTCAGTATTCAGCGCTGCGGTACTTTGATTGACATTTATTCCGTCATGCAACACTGTACTGAAATTAATTTTATACCATTTTTTAGGGACAGATAGAGCTTTCTTTTGGTATTTAATCACCACTGAGGTTTTTATTTTTTACTATATTAAGGAAAAATTACCGAGATTTTTTTAAAAACTGTTTCCCCTATATTAAAATGATAAAACATTTATTATTACCCAATTTTTTGGTAAAATATAAGAGAGGGGTTCACGTCGGGTAAAAAGACACCAAACATGTCAAGCCTTAAAATTGTGTGCGCGAAACCTCAAAAACTATAATACCCAAAATTGGCCATAGGCGACGCTTTAAAAGCTTTTACCGCTCATCAGTTTAGTGTCATCAGTGATTGATGGCCCTAAAATGATTGCTCTCACTGTGATGTTCGTGGCGATATGTAACGCGTGTAGCGCAATTGTCGTTTTTACGCGCTGGTGGACGGGTATTTACGTTTATGTATGCGTAAACGTGGGGGTGGGGAACTTTTTGGGGGGTTTTTTAAACTTTTATTTATATTTTTTTTTACACTTGTTATTGCTATTACATAGGGGGATAACAATCCCACATATAATAGCAAAGGCACACTGACAGGTCCTCTTTATGGAGACATTAGGGGTCTGCAGGACCCCTAATGTCACCTGGGGACCCCAAAGGAAGCTGATGAAGCAGAGATCTGCTACATCAGCTTCTTCTCTCTGGCTATAGCAGCCAGATGACTGACAGGTGAATACGGAAGTGATGTAATACACATCACTTCTGCATTCACAGCACGGAGGGAGGTCAGCAAGGAGGAAGATGCTGATCTCCCTCCCATCTTACCTCCTGACTCCTGACACCCTCCCGAGCCGGTCCCGGGCCGCAGATGGGGCAGCGGATCCCGGGATTCAAGGTGAGGGGTC